ATTAAACAGTAGCATAAGAGACTATTTGTTTTAATTCTATAAATGATTCATGAATAGAAATTTGCACTCGACTAAATATTCGTTGATAAGGATTTACTAGCTGCTATGTATCAATTAAAAGTGGTCAAAATGAATATCGAATATTGAATATGAGATTGAAAAGAAAACTTTGGAAATTGGCAGGGGGAAAACGACATTTAGAGGGTGTTTGAATTGACTTAAAAGTTGGTCAAACCTACTTTTAAATCAGTTTTTAACCTCTGGAAGTGTTTGACAAATATAAAAAAAATAACTTAAAATAAGTCAAAAAAATACAAAGTAGGTCTCCCCCTACTTTTTATTTTTTGACTTAAAAGTCATTTAAGTTTGACATTTTATTTTTGACTTAAAAGCTACTTATTTTAAACGAATCTAAACCGGCTCTTAATTTGATGGCCTTAATTTATTCAAACAACTTCTCCATTGGAATAATGTGACGCATTTAATTTTTGGCCAAGATTATTTATCATACATTTAAATTAAAAGTTTGGAGGTGAATTGTGAAACATTTTTTTTTTATACAAAATTGTCAAACTAGCTCCCTCAAATTTCAAGAAAATGTGAAAGATGCACTTATGAATTAGAAAATGACAAATTATATCATGTACAGAAAAAAGTTATAAATAGTTATAATAGGTATATGGTCTATACCATAGAATATAAATGTAACTTATACCAGTGGTAGTACTGGTGAAGATAAAATTTTTTACCATTAGATCGATTATTTCTCTTTATATGTTACAAGAATTAACATAATCGATAATACTAATGAACTGAATATCGATATGATATCGATAAAGTTTATTATATTAATCGACCGTTCATATTAACCAGCGAGGCATGATAGCTACCTAACTAGTTGGATGGTCCAGGCAATTAATCATTTGTCAAAGTTTCAAATCAGGTTTTTAACTAAAGAATCATCACTTTTTGCTTTTTTATTAGGTCATAAAAATGATTGAGTTGAAAAAAATAAAAATAAAACGAATATATTGACTCTTTATTTTAATTTTTATTTTTTTAAAAAAAAAAATCATATTAACGCATAAGAATCTTTCTTTTGAGATATTTTTTGCTATTTTCTAAAATTCTATCATCAACAAAACTTTGTGTGATGTTCTATTCACCTTGTGATATATTAATTTCAAATTATATTTTTTTTTCACACTAGTGAAGAATTATTTGAACTAGAAGTACATATATAATATTACTTTCGAATATTATGCTCATAGACAAATATTATGATGATTTTTTTTTAAGTCAACATTCATTCAATTTCAAAGTTGAAATATATATTTAAATATATCTTACCCTTATTTTTGGGATAAGGGTCTGAAAAATATCTCAACTTTGACCGAAATTCCTGTTACAATATCAAACTTTAATGAGGACCTATTACCCCCAGACTATTTAATACCGTATTTTAAACATATATATTTGTCCACGTGGGCACATATATACTTTTAAAATACACTATTAAATAGTTCAGGTGATAAAAAATACACTATTAAATAGTTCGGGGGGGGGGGGGTAATATAGAGGTTTGGTATCGTAATAGCAATTTCGGCCAAATTAGAGTATTTTTCAGACCCTTATCCCCTTATTTTTTGATGTTTTATATTTTTAGATCAATTTTCTGTTGAATTACTCCACGTTTAGATTCTTTTCCATAATACATTTATTAAATGACAGTTGTGAGGAGAATATCACAGTGGCATTTTCATAATAATAATTGTTTTGAAATTAATTAAAATGCTGGTGGATTAAATTTGATTCACCTACACAAGTGGAACCAAAATGTTGTGGGCTTGTGGTTATGATGGGACATATATAACATACAAATACGGTAACAAATAAACGACTTAGCGGTAATAATATAATTCTCATTATGATAATATAATGTTAATGACATTAAAAGTTTTTGTGACTCTGAATATAATGTCATTAACTTCATCACTGCTAATTTCGTTTAATTGTCACTAAATATCTCTTTTATTACAATAAAAGAAAAATAAACTATGGATCCATATCTAGAATGTGTCTCATGGCTACTATGAAAAGACGGGTCTAATTGTTTTACTAAAAAAATGCAATACAACTTTTTATCGATGAAATTAGAGTGAATGCACTCATCCTCCTAGATCTGCCCCTGCTACGAGAGACCTAATGGTGTAATTGGTATGCTTAATTTTTGTAATGACTATTTTAGTAATTAATATCCACTCTGTCCTTTTTTACTTGTTCAATTTGACTTTTTATTTGTCATTTTTAACAAATCAAGAAAATATAATATTTTTAACGTATTATACCCTTAATATATTTAGAAAGTTCTATGTTTTTGTAAATGGTAGAAGTTCTTTAATAAGTAAATCGATTTTGAAATTTTATCAATTGATAAAGGTAAAATAATAAACTCACTATATCAATTTCTTTTTTTTTAATAGATGTGTTAAGTAAAAAATGGACAAGTAAATAAGAGACAGAAGAAGTAAAAATGTTAGTTATAAAGAAAGAGATTAATTAAAGTAATTTCTTTTTTTAATGATTAAGTGGCGCCTTATCTATATGTGTACAATTTAGTGGGGCCATCTTTGTTGACCACAAGCAGTATTTACTAATTAATGTTGAGAATCAAATCTAGAAATAAGTAGTGCCTTTGAAAGACTTTTATTAATAGACATGTGACACTTTTTAAAGGTCAACTTTTTATTTATTTATTAATTAAGCTTACTATCATTAGTGCTTAATAATTTCTTGAAGTGTTGCAACTTGTAAGTTGAGTGATTTCTTATCAAGCTTAATTAAAATAATTAGAGCTTAAGAAAACTGTGTCCCTTAAACAAATTTAAGTTACAGAGGAAGGGATCACAAGTTTCAAATTTGTGCTTACATTAAGCTAAATATATAGCTCAAATTGATACAAAAGTGTTAATCAAAATATTCTCAAGTTTTTTTTTTAATAATTAGGCGTGTTAGACTTACGTCTCATTGTTATTTATTAAGTTTTTTTGTTTTTAATGATAAAATCTATTTTAGCCAAAATCAAGTGTACTGTAATGGTTAACCATGTTTTCCGTCCAAATAGAGGTAGACATGGTAGGGTAGTTATCAAATACCATATTAAAATTGAATTTTTTGATTTTTCAACTTCGATATAATGATATTTGAAATGGTATTTGTTATGCATTTAAAATAAAATGGTATTATATATATATATATATATATATTGAATATCATATCAAAGTATATAATTACATATAATAATTGCAAACATATAAAATAATATTAATATAAAACTAATTATTAGACGTCAGAACTTTGACTAATCTATTTTGATTGTCTTTTTGGATGACTGATTAATGAAGGAAATTGCTTGTACTTCGTTTGAAGATTTCTACATGTGTAAAGTGCTAGTATGATCTAACGAAAACGTTTCATGAAAAACCCAAGTCCTAATCTCTATTATATATGATTATATGTAAGTTGAAGTCGATCAAACTATGATTATCAATTTTATCGTACCACAAAATATCCAACCATGCCTACAACCAAGTTGGTAAACCAAAGTTTGTTCAATGGGCTTTATCTTATCAATCTAACCCAAATTTTCTATATTGGGCCTCTTCTAGGTTCCAATTATTTTTGGGAAAATTTTCAAAACAACAATATTTTAGCTTTTAATGGGACTCCTTGGCAATAGTTTCACTATTTATTTAAAATGTCAATATTTTAATTTTGTAAGGATTGAGTTATGTATTTATTTTATTTTGATTATACAAATAATTAATAACTGAATAGAGAAAATCATGGAACAAAAAATTTAAAAAAAGGTATTTTTTTAAAAAAATTTAACATCAGTTATGTTTTTGAAAGAGCATATGTTGCCATTTTTCTTTCTAGCATTTTTTTCTTTGTTCTTAAGAATTTCAATTTTTTTTTTTTTGAAAATAGTAGTTTGTATTTTATATCTTATATGAGTGGAAGTGTTGGAAAATTTCTAATGCCCTCTGTTTTGGATATTTAAAATGGTTTTGAACTTCTTTGAATATGTGTTCATCCGAAATGTATTCGAATACCTAATGATATGTATAACTAATTTAAAATACAAAAAATGTTGATATTGCTTTATGATGAATACAACTCTTTGGCATTCTAGTTCAAATACAAAAATAAAGGCAGTTGTGTAGTATATACCAAAATATAAATACAAATTAGTTGTAGATCAAAATGATATTGAAATACAGTTGCGATGAATACATATATAATACATAGAATAAGTTTATTCAAAATAAATTGTATTTATATTTCAATATTCAATTTTGTTATATTATTATTTCACTTTAAATTTGCAGAAAGTATTTTCTAGCTTAGTTTTTATTTCAAATATCAAGTTGTATTTCAATACGATTTTGTAATAATTGTGTATTCTCCTTCTTGTGATGTATTCGTCGCACAATTTTATATATTATGTATTCATAAAATTATATTGCTTTAGCCAAATAAAATACAAAATATGTCTTACTAAGTTTGTATTTCAAATATCAGGTTGTATTTCAGTATGATTTTGTATTTCAAACCAAAAAATGAATACCAATAAGTTTCCATTTCCTGATAAATATGTATATTTTTGCAATCACGCTATTTTATAAATATTTGAAAATCATCACAAAGGATTTTACATTTTATTTAAATATTTTATTAATTTACTTTAAGCTATAGTTGTAATTTCGAGTTAATTAGTTTTGTAATTGAATTAATTAGTTTATAATTAAGTTAATTATTTTCTATTTCGTTAAGATTAAGAAGCTCATAAATTAATTTATATTAACTCATCTTGTTTGAATTTTAGCCGAATTCACCGATTAAATTCAATTTGGCTACAATTGAAATTCATTTGGTTATTGTGTAATTGCAATGCTAGCCACTTTCTCACCTTATCCTTAATCATTTTTGAGATCAGAAATTGGGCCATTTATTTGCCATATTTCAGCAGCCCATTACAACTCTATCAACAACCCACCAATTCAAGCAACAATTCCAAAGACCCAAAGGTGGGCCGACTTTTCCCAGTCCATTTCTTTTATTTTTTCAGCAGGCCCCTTTTGTTTTCCAATTCGCCCAGCCCATTTTTCCCACACATTACAACATTCCCAGCCCAATCTTAACACAAACAAACCCATCAACAATACATCAGCAGTAGCAATACACCAAACAAACCAGACGACCCCACTGCCTCATCTTCTTCACGCAACAACAACAAAAACCAGCGAACAAATCGCGTTGCTAACCCAACGAAATCGCGGAAATTCAGCAGCAAATCACGACCTCGAGCACAACGCCTACCTCTCCATTATCAATCCGTTGAAAATTGTTGAGATGGGACAATTGACAGCTTCAACCTTATCTCTTAAGAGGGAGGTGATTTTCGAATTTCAAAAATCCACCCGTTTCCCCCTAAAAAATCACCTTATTCTTCATTTATTTAAGGTCATTTTTCGATGTGTTTAGGGGAGGAGAAAAATATTGGAGAAATTTTTTATATAAATATAAATACAAGAATACATACATAGAACCAAAAAAAAATAATCAGTAGCTAGAATCGATAAAATATTTTTCTTTTGTACTAGCCGCTTGCAAAACTCATCGGAATCTCGTTGTGGTAGCGAAGTTGTCGTTCCTCTGCTCGTTCCTGTCCCGATTCGCTGCCCGGAAAGAGGTAAAAATCTTTCTCACGTTCTGTTTTGTTTGATCTTTAGTTGTTGAGCTTTATGTTTTCTCAATTATGTCTTGGTGTTTTCTTTATGATTGGAATTGAGTGGAATCTATAATGCTTAGCTGAATTTCTTTTAGTTGATTTTTTTACTGTTTGGTTGTTCTCCGAAGTATGAATGTATAGTATTTCGCTCCTTCTTTGGTCACTGTTAACCTTCCATGGTTTTATAAATGTTGAACTTTTCCGTCCATTCAGTTCATCATCTCGTTGTTCATCAGATTGTGTTCTTAAAGTCGGCTAAGCCTTGGCTTGGTATGGCTTTGCTTTGTTTTCCATTACTCCGATTCGATTTTTTTCTTTGGTTCAACCTAAGTTCATGGATTGTTGTTTAATATTATATTGTTTTGCAACCACTTGCTAATGTTCAACTTTGGATCAATTAGCTTAATTTTCTCTAGATATGATTTATGTCTTCCGTGTCTAGACTTTAAAGCTTATATACATGTGTTTCCCCTGTTAGTGTCAATCCATGAGTTGTTTAGTAACCAAGTGATTCTTTAATGCGAATTTGTTCATGTACTGATCTATATTCCAGCATATGATTTGTTCAAGTTTAAATCTGTTGGTTTGTAGCTAATTTCCTCCTTTGTTTGTATAAGTTTAATTTTTGCATGATTTATTAAAATTCTTTCCCTTTTATGCTTAAATTATTTGGGCAATGTGTTGACCACTCAAAAATAATTTTGGTTACTGCCTATATGTTTAAGTTTGCTGTTTTTTCTTATAAGTTAATTGGATTCAGAAGTCTAAAGTTGAATATGCTCTTAACTTTGCTAATTTAATTCCTTTTGTTCTGCTGCAAATGTCCTCCCGAGTCCAATGGACTCTCGTCCCATTGCATTTCCGATTTTGGGGCCAAGGTGGCCTAATGATCGTTTTTCTCGAGTCTGTCTCGAAATGGATCAAGAAGCGGAATTGAACGGGAAGCTGAAACACAATCTTGGAAAGTCCGAAAATGGGTTGTATGCAGTTTGTATACAACATTATACACTGATATACAGGTTCAGTGCAGCAAATATGTGGCCAAAACGTAAAAACATAGGGCTGAGGCGAAATACCGGTGTTCGGGAGCAAGGCAGGTTCAAAAACGAAAAAACAGGTTGAAGTGGATCGTATGCAATTGGTATACGGTTCAGTATACAGAAAAATGGGCCATGACGCGACCCGTATACAGCTGTATACATTTGGTGTATATACAAGATTTCAAGGGGCAAAAGTAGGGTCAAAGCCCAAACCCAATTGCAGCAGGCCCAAGAAAGGCCCAAATTCATTTCCCTTTGCCTTTAAATTATTTTATTGTTTGTTTTCTGATTATTAACTCTAACTTTATAATTGTGAATTAGCTTAATTAGATTCCTCAAAAGATGAGTTATTTTCTTTGTGTCGGTTTAATTTTAATACGTTTTCATGGTTTTGTGCTCATTTATTTTATTAATCAAAATATATTGGTCAAAAATTTTATATTTTCAATTTAAGTTAAACATTTAGTTCTTAAAAAAGAGATGTTCTTTAATGCTTTTCATTTAATCACATTTTATTCATCTTAAAATTGTTGTAAGTTAAAGTACTTTTCTCAAATAAACTTTACAAAATGCTAGTCAAAACCTTTTCAATTAATTAAATACATATTATATATACACACACACTTACTTAGTCTTTTCTCAAAAATGTTAGTCAATTAATTTAAAATGATTTTCATGCTTTAAATGGGTTTAAATGATTATTTCAAAATGAATAAAATAAATTCTAATTAATCTTGTTTTATTAATATTCTAATCATAATGTATTTCGAGTCAAATGTGTCATTTTGGATCCCTTTTCTTTAAAAAAAAATAAAAATAGAATAATATAAAATGTATCATTCATTTAATTATTTTATCAAAGTTATTCAAATATTGTAAGTTATTATTTTTTATGTTAAATCATTATTTTTCTAAAAATAGTCAAAAAATATATTTTAGTCAAGTCGCAGGTCAACCGCATGTTAGCGGACACTTCGAATGCTTAAACCCTTCTCGAAGTGTAAATTGAACCCCGAACCCTCTTTGGTATTTTCAAATGATTTTTTCTGTTTAAATCTTTGAAAATTATAAGTTTTCTTAATTTCTTTAAAAATTAAGTGGCGACTCTTTTCTAAGTATTTTTTCTCAAATTGTTTTATACTTAGAACATTTCAAAAAGTGATTTTTCTAGAGTACAGTAAAATTACGCCACGACATCTACTATGCTCTTTTTTCCGAATTTTTTCCATCAAAACCGAATCTGAATCTGTATTCACTTGTGCATTAGTAACCCTATAAGCAAAATTCGAAATTATTAAATATGAATGTATAAAAAAATCAAACAATATATGATGTATGTGTGCTAATGTAGTTACTACAATCTACTAAATCTCAAATATGAAAACAAAATTTTTGATAATTTGAATTTCGAAATTATCAAAAATTAGAATGTATTAAATATCAAACAAAATAAACATACATATGAATTTCTAGATTCTCCAAAATCTGAAAAATTAAAAGAAAATCACAAAAAAAATTGAAAAAATTGAAAATCATAACTATTTGATGAATAACTAAACAAA